GCTAAAGCACATTATCATCATCAGCATGCCATTATGATATCATGGAGTAGCCAGTAAGGGTAAGTTGGTAACAGAATTACCAGTTCCGAAAGCCTCAGTTAAGATAGAGACAAGCACCAACAGCAGGAGTCGTGACACTAGTGACCGCGTCTTCATGACTACTAAACACTGACTGTGAAGAAGTATTCCTGAGACTTATAACTAAGAGAATACACAAGGTGTTATAAAAGAGAGACAGAGAGAGGGATAGTGAGCAAAAAGAGTCAGTCTTGCCCCACTAGATTAACATGCTAAAGAAGAGTGCACTAATACCATAGATATTAGAGTAAATATCTATGCTAATACGGGAGACTATACGGTAGAGTATAAGCCACTGATTTTCATGCACCATCTATAGTCGAACATTATTTCTCACAGTTCACTGAGCAGAAGGCATTGGTAAGACATCTGCTGTGTTACTGTGTAGAGCTGTCAATCTCTTTCTCATGCAGTTTTTGTTGGTAGATGACAATCCTGAGCAACTGATAGTGACAGAACACATAAAACAAAGACTAGCACTGCTTCTCTCATCATTGCTATCAACTCACATGCATATATTATTTTAAAGAATTTGTGACATCATTAACTGCTAAATAATTCAAATAATCATCAGAACTTGTAGTAGTAGGAAATACTACTATTACTATAGTCTTTATTTGGTTAAAGGCTGGTTTTTATGTAGATCTACTGGCAAACCAATTGCCACAATAAAATTAATGTGCCATTAATAATAATAATAATAATAATAATAATAATGAGTTAAAGAATTTTCACAATATTAATAATATACTACATTGTCTATTAGTAAAAAAACACAATGATAACAGGAGCAATTATTATCACTTGTTTTCTCAATTGAAATCTGAATAATAATAATAATAATAATAATAATAATAATAATAATAATAATAATAATAATAATAATAATAAATAAGAAAGAAGGAAGTAAGGAGTTTCAAAGCGTATGTCGAGAGAAAGAAAAATTTATTAAACATTGTTATTGCAATCAAAAAACAGCCACTTGCATCACATGCAGTCACATGACTAGGGGAGCAAGTCATACGACTATCACATGATACAAGAGAGCCAATGAGAAACAATATAAGACAGCAACAGAACAGCAAAACAGAACAATAATAATCATAATAATAAATTATGATACAAATAGACGATAGACAAAGATGAGAAATATCAATCATTTTCGATTGCTCGCGCTTCTGCGAATCGACGACTTTGTTAAATTGGGAGACGCTCGTCTTTTTGGGTTTGTGGGTGAAGCGGCGCTTGCTAGGTTCTTTGGTGAACGAGTGGAAGGGGAGGGAGAGGCAGAGAGGGAGGACGAGGGCTCGTGGATTATCTTGTCTCTTCGTACAAACACACCATGTTTATCCTTACACTTGAAATATGTCACACCTTTAACGCTGCCATTGTTTTTACCTATTGGGAGTGATTAATGATGAAATTATAGTTTTGTTAATCTTTCTTACCTTGTGGGCGGTCTAAGGCCACACCTATCCACTCGCCGGGAGCAAATTCAGTGTCGCCTATAAACTTGACGGTTCCCATTTTGAAACCGTTGGCAACTTCAACCATCACCTAATAATAATAATAATAATAATAATCAAAAATTAATAGGAGAAAATTCCCCATTTTTATAAATTATCCTGATACAGATACATCTTCTTATGTTGTACATGTATATCAAGTTTGAGTAGATTCCGATCAAGTTTAGATTTTTTACAGATTTTCAAAGTTGTTCCAAAATCAGAAAAAAGTCCCTGTACTATTATAGTACAGGGTCATCGACCAATTTCGCCAAAAATGACTAGGAGAGAATTCTCCATTTTTATAATTTTTTCTGATACACATACATGTTCTTATGTTGTGTAGAAAGTTTGGGCTGATTTCGGTCAATTCTAGATTTTTTATGGATTTTTAAAGTTGCTCCAAAATCAGGCAAAAGACCCTGCACTAGTACAGGGTATTTCATCAAAAATGGCTCAGAGAGAACTCTTAATTTTATTTCAGTTTTTATACACATACATGTACATTATATCATTATTTCTATATATCCCCAGTTCCTCTTACTTTCTCTCCCAGTCTACATTCGGGTGCTAACTGCTTACTGGATGCTTCACTATTCTCTGATGAATCAGACGGGGTAGGAGAAGCATTGTCCCTGTAATTAAAACAAATTAAAACTAAACCCGATACTCCAAATTACGCACCTTTTCGGTTTCGGCTTTACATGTACATCAACAGGAGATGCGGACTGTCCCTCGTACTTCCTGTCCTCCTCCTCCTCTCCTGCTGTGCTCTCACTTCGCTCACAACCATCACCCACACCTCTATCACCTTCACCAACACCATTACCCTCACCGCTCACAAATATCACAGGCTCAGACGGGAGGGGTTGGGCAGAGTTCTCATCCGTCGAGGGGGTCTGTGGTTCTGTTGGTGTCTCTGGAGGATCGGTTAACGGCGAGACTGTGACTGGTTCCGTTGAAGTGGATGAAACTTCTTCCGGTTTAGCTGGTTCTTGATCGACAGTACTCGACTCTTCTTTTAATTCTTCTTCGTTGGTTTCCTCTTTTTTGTCTTCAGCGGTTCCTTCTACTTTCTCACTATCCTCCTCTTCTTTCTCCTCTTCTTTCTCCTTTTCGTCCTCCTCTTTCTCCTTTTCCCCCTCCTCTTGGCTCTCACCGTCTCCCTCACGTAATGGGGTGGACTCCTGTATGGGTGGAGTCTCTTTAGTGGGTGTGGCTTCCTGTTTGAACACCTCGTCCTGAGGAGGTGTGATAAAGAACGAGACCTGTTCGCTATTATCAAGAGGATTCGAGTCGTTTGCAGACTCCGAAACAGCCTAAAATTCTAATTAAAGGGACAAAAAGAAATTATTTCTTCTCACCTCAAGTTCAGGTGAGTCGGTCCGACTGTAAATGTTACTACCGGAGTCAGCACGGCTAAGACTTTGTGGCTGCAAATAAAAAATGAGTGGGTAAAGGGTTAAATAAAAACATCTTACAGTTGCTCCATCAGGCGAAGGCAGCCTTTGCTGAATATTAAAACGTTTTTTCAGCGCACGACCGGAATTAGCCAGCTTCTCTTTTAACGATACTTCCTAAAATGACAATTATAAGCTAAACACACTCAAAACCACACCCACCTGCTTCAATCTGTCTAAGGCAAGCACGTTAGCAATGGCCGCCATGCCAGTCTTGAATTTATCTACAGCATTTTCATCTTCTTCCAGTTCAACAAAAGAAGGGTTGGCAGGGATCTTGGGCGGAGGCTCCATTCCTTCACTTTTAGGAATACCAGTCACTACCTCAAACATGATTCCACAAGTAGTTCTATAATCCTGAGAGAAGGGAGAGAGAGAGGGAGAGAGGGGAGAAGAGAAAAGCAATTACATATATGTGAACAATGTACTATACATGTACTAGTGTTGTTTTAGTTACAGTTATACAACTTTTAGTTGGTAATGGTAATAGAATATTAGTAGTGTCTTGTTACTGACTCTAGTAAAAGCTTTCATGATGGCCGCCCCGATTCCTATCCTCTTGTACACTCTGAGGCATATCCTTTTTCTTAGCATTATCTCAACCCCGGGAGGGTTCTTTAGTTTGATACCTACCCGCACAATGGCAAATACTCTATCGTTAGCACCTGTGACTTTATTTAGACTGCTGGTATCGTGTACTGTGGAGTCCCAGGAAGCAACTGCTATCAACTGAGAGAGAGAAATTAATAACTTTACATGTACATGTAAATTGACATAAAATATTCTTAAATTAGAAAAAAATAAAAATTCTAATACAATGTACACTCACTACACTACTTCTGAAAGCCCAAAATTTATGCAAATATTCATAATTTTTGAAAATCCACAAAAATACAATAGATTGTTGGATGGTTTTGCAAAAATTTGCGCCACCATTTTACATATATGTATGTCAAACAGTACATGTACATGTAGTGAGTACCTGATGGTCCTCTTGTTTTATTATCGGTAGTTGGATCATGTTCTCCGGCTTCTCTCCAAAGAGCTCACCAGTTTGTACCAAACCAGTCACTGGCCTCTCCTCCTCATCATCGTCACCACTAGTTAATAAATAATAATTAATAACCATCAACTAATAACTATTAATTAACTAGTAATTAATAACTAGTAATTAACCAGTAAAATAACCAGTAATCAATTAACTATTACTATTATTATTATTACTACATGTACTACCTGTTAAGGTCTAAGAATACCACAGGTACTTTTGCTTCCATTCCTGGGACTAACTGCCAGTTGGTTGGAGCTCCAGGTACACCGGAACCAGCTTTAGGCTGTACCACAGCCATTCTCTCCCACTGACAATAAAAAATAACAACAACAACAACAATATAAATAATAATAATAATAATAATAATAATAATAATAATAATAATAATAATAATAATGCTATTCCTACTTGTAGCATAGTCCATTGGTCGATGAGCTCGTTCTCTTTGACAGTGTCTGACTCATTCCTTGATCTCTTCTCCATGATCTTCCTCACCTCAGTGTCCAGGAACTCTCTCCTGTTACTCAGGGCATCGCTCCACTTCGTACGTAACCTAGCAACAAAACCACACCCATTGCTAATTAACAAACAAATAATAGTCATAAATTTTATTATTTACACAACTAAATAATCATCCAATGTTCTATATTGATTAATAATATTAGTAATAAATTAATTAAACCACGCCCATACTTAATTAACTAAACCACACCCACCTCTCCAGGTCTACTTCTTGATAAGAGTCTAAAGAGTCATCATATCTATTCCTCAGGTAGACGCTCCCGACTGATATACTGGAAATACTCTCACAGACAAGAGGCCCATTCCCTGAGCCTGGTATCTGTACCACACTAACACGCACACGCCTTGATTGACCCTGTGATATACAAGTACATTAATAATAATAATAATAATAATAATAATAATAATAATAATAATAAAAATAATAATAATAATAATAATAATAATAATATGCAGTAACCAGTTGGTTCCTAATACCTGTCTTATCTGGAATATTCCTCCTGATTTGATGTCAGCCTTTGGTTGCAACTCAACGGCGACATACTCTCCCTGATCATTGAGTTCCATTATCTCTACCCATAGCTCCAGTCTCTTTATAACATCATTCCATCTCTCCGACAGTGAACGAGGTCTCTTGGAATCTTCTTCTGTAGAGAAATAGAGAGGGAGAGAGAGAGGAAACAATATGAAATATACATCAACAATTCGACATTAAAAATTATTTTCTAATTATCCCAAAACAGCAGACCTGCATCAGGTACAGAGTCGAATCCACTTCTCCTGTGACCCCACACTTCAACCGCTAGTGCTCCGTCATTAATGTACTCAAGGAAGTCCTCCGTCACTTCAATATTGAACGTCTGGTGGTGCTGGAACTGATGCACACCGTCAGGAGGGTGGACAGAGTCAGCCCCACCCATTGAGGGGATTAGTGGCGGAATTATGAGTGCCTCTTCTTGCCCCCAGAACTTGTACTGACAGAATAGATTGTGAGAGTAAGCAGCTGGAAGACCACTCGCCTCTATCACTGATACTCTGACAGTAATATGAGTACCTAATTAAATAAATAATTAAATAATATATCAAAAATGTGATAAAATTGACATTATTTTCTCTTCTAGTCATTTTTGACAACTTTCAATGAAATACCCTGTACTATATGGTACAGAGTCTTTGGCTGATTTTTGAGCAACTTTTAAAATTCATAAAAAAGCCAATTTTGATTGTAAATGTATCTGCTCAAAGCCTCAAACTTTCTACACAAAATACAATGTACATGTAATAATATTGTAACATGTTAATCCATGATGAAATGGCAGACTCCAAGTACAAGTACATGTACATGTAGTACGTACCTGGTTTAAGATCCTCTACTTCCTCTGGTGCCTCCCACGTCACCATTGATGAACTGTTATCAACATCATCAACACTGTCACGTATCACTATAAGGAGAGAGTGGGTGGAAAAAGAGGCAGAGATAAGTAAACAATCATACAACACGTACTGGTACTAAACTTACAAGGCAAGCATTGGAGACCGAGTTTTAACCTGCCGCAAACCTAATTAAGAGAATGAAAAGAAAGGAATTATTTCAGGTAGAATAGTGACCATAAAATCTATACAAAAATTACTTGGATGCACCAGTAATAATGCATGTACATCAATAATAAATTATTATCACTTATTTATTATTATTATTATTATTATTATTATTCTTGCCTTTCCAGTTGGTCCAATAATGGGAGCGTCATAAACATGAGCTACCCCATGATACAAGCACTCCAGGAATATATTAGCCACACCCAGGAGGGCATGCTGCTCTAGATCAAAGAATGGATCAGGACCAATGCTGTCATCCTAAAAAACAACAACAACAACAATAAATAACAATAACAACAATAAATAAAAATAATAATATACAAATGTATGTACTATAAAAAGTATTTGCATCCCTATTATCGGTATTAATTAACCAATAGTCACACCCATCAGCACTAATAACTATTAATTAACTAATAGTCACACCCACCAGCACTAATCCAAAGCTCCCTTCCTCAATGCGTTGGTACATGTCTCTCATTGTGAGGACTTTCTCCGCTAGTGTATTGAGAGACCAGACGGAATCGGTCCCTCTCTGTCTGTGGATAACACGGATGGCTATCTCATTGCTAGTGTGCATCTCTTCTGAACTGAGGTACTGCCTGGGGCTTAAGAATGACTTGGGAATCTAAAAGAGAGAGAGAGAGGAATAAGAATTTTAAGTATATGTATATGTACATGTATATGCGTGAGAAAAAAATTATAAAATAGAGAATTTTTTCCTAGTCATTTTTGGCGAAATTTGGCCAATGACCCTGTACTATAGTACAGGGACTTTGGCCCAATTTTGGAGCAACTTTAAAAATTCGTAAAAAATCCAAACTTCATCGGAATCAGCTCAAACTTGCTACACAACATAAGAACATGTATATGTATCAGAAAATGTAATAAAAATGGAGAATTCTCTCCTAGTCATTTTTGGCACAATTTGGCCGATGACCCTGTACTATAGTACAGGGACTTTGGCCCGATTTTGGAGCAACTTTAAAAATTCGTAAAAAATCCAAACTTCATCGGAATCAGCTCAAAATTTCTAGGCTACATAAGAACATGTATATGTATCAGAAAATGTAATAAAAATGAAGAATTCTCTTCTAGTCATTTTTGGCAAAATTTGGTCAATGACCCTGTACTATAGTACAGGGACTTTGGCCCGGTATTAATTGCTACTCACAGTGAGTGTGACTCTAAAGAGAGTGTCTTTATGCAGTGCCTCCGAGAGCATGTTAGCTTCTCTGACGAGTTGGTTGGCGAGTAGGACAGTGTTCATGAGTCTCTCTCGGTTCTGGTCCTCCCATTCCTCCTCTAGCGTCACTTGCTTGGACTGTTTGGAGCCAGAGGGAGACACAGAGGTTGACGAGGACACGTCCAGCTGGGTCTGTAACTCGGCCAACTTCTTCTCGTACATGTCCTTCTGAGCCTCAAGAGCACCTGATAAAATTAATAAATTAATTAAAAGGTGTCTAATTAATTACTAGTTAATTAATAGGTGATTAATTAAACACTAGTTAATAGATAGGTAGTTAATTAAATTCGTTATCACCTTCTTTCTCAGCTTGATGCTTTTCCAGAAGCTTTTTTTGCATGTTAGAATAAATCGGATCTAACAAATAATAATTAATGTGCCGGCCACACCTACCCACCACACCTACCTTGAGCCAGCTCATTGACCGATATTTCCTTCATTGCCTGTTCATAGTTCATGACCGGTTCCTCCTCATCAAAAGAGGCCCCGCCCATCCTAGGACAACTCAATCTGTAGAGATGGTTGTTGCCAAATAGGATACGGGAGCCATGCTTTAGCTGTGTCTTCTCTGTGATTATTTGACCATTGACTCTCGTCCTGTGGGAGGGAGAGAGAGAAGAAAAAATTAAAAATAGATAAAAATGCATACATGTACATGTAGGTATTGTAATATTAAAATTCATTAAGATGTCAGCTTACATAGCCCGTTCCAAAGGAGTTAAAAATACTTCTCGGTCGATAATCTCTACAATACAATGCTCGTTAGTTATACCTAAACCACGTAACTGTATATCCTACAAAAAAGAGGCGTGTCACCCTGGGGTGTGGTCACCACACCCACTAACCTGGAGGACGGTGTGACCTGGTCTCCCTATTCTAGTGTATGATTTTAGATAGCAGACTAATAGTTCGTTCATGGATGGATCGGCGTTTAAATTGATAAGGTAGTACTTGTCTTTTTGGACACCAATACCGGACTCCTGGACAGATATACCCATTGCCTCTAAGGCCTCTTGTCTATCCTAAAATAATAATTATGATAATAATGATAATAATAACAATAATAATAATAATATTAATAAGGTTTCAATTATATTAGCAAAAGAATAGAATATTAAGACTTTAGGATATAAAAAATAAGTAAAAATACATAGTACATAGTATTTATTAAGGAGATGACAAAGAACAATGAGATGTACAGTATAGCAATAGCACACTGGGATATAGCAATATTACAATGACACAATAATAATACAGTTATATACATGTACATTATGGATTATACTTATTGTGTACATGTACATGTAGTATCACATGCAGAGATAGTCCAGTGTAATTCACATTGTGTACAAGACATAACCTAGCTGTCATTTGGGAAATTAAAAATACGTTAGGTCACTGTCACATTGTGTAAATGAACAGTACTATGTACACACAACATAGTCTAGCATAATTATAATACACGTACATCTTACATGTATACATATACGTGTACATGAATTCAGGATAGTACAATCTACAAATGTATATACTGATACAGTAGTACACGATACTCCAGCTTACTCTATGTAGTCTCTCTGTCTCCCTAAGCCTCTCTTCCCAGGATTTTGTCATCTCGGCCATTAAGCCCTCACTGATCTGTAGCTTCTCTTTGAGCGACTCCATCTCAGCAGTGCTGACCCCTCCCCCTCCTCCTCCGCCCCCTAAAAGCATCATCTGTCTCAATTTCTCCACTTCTTCTCTCAGCTCTCGTATTATCTATAAAATTAATATAAGCCATGGCCATCGACCACACCCACTCACCTTAGAGTTGGCGTCCTCATTCACGACCGCATGGTTGACGATGCGTTTTGCACGATCGGCATAACGGAGGGTAGAGAGAGTCTCTTCGAAATTGTCAGAGGCAGGGCTTATGGTGGCTACCATAACAGTCTTGCTATTACCGCCTAAATTATCCTGAGAGAGAAAGGGGGGAAGAGAGAGAGAGAGAGGGTGGGGGGGAGAGAGAGAGAGATTAAAGATCACTTTGTTTTTCTGTTCCTCTTTTACTTTTAGTAGCCATGTCAAGGTTGAGTCTCGATACGGTACATAAGCATTCTTAGGTTTCTTACCAGCAGACTGATTGAAGGAATTAAGAGTATAAATGTATAATAACTAATATTAGCAATGAAGTATATTTACTTACAATGTCAGCCAAAGCTGAAATAACTAAGCCAAGTGTGGTTAGTGATCTAAACAAGAGAAAGAGAGGAGAGAGAGAGAGAGAAAAAAGAGATAAAAATGAAGAGGCAAAGGATTACAAGTTTATACCCAGGACCACCAATAATTGATTATCATTAATATTCAAATAGTGAGCAGCTGCTATTTAACATAAACTAGTGGATTGTACAAGTAGTACATGTACAGCTGGTTCACTCACTTGTTAATGTTACTGCCTTCCTTTAGCCTTGAGCCCAGAGCACCTGTCTTACCCGCCCTCTCACTACCAGCCAGATCAACTAAACTAATCTTACTTACACGCTCAAGTCCAGTCTATATTATACAAAATTAAATAAAAAGAATAATAATTATGTTACATGTCTATGAGTGTACATGAACATTACCTCAGCTGCAACATCAAATTTAGTTTGAGTCAGTACCATTGAGAAGACGGCATGCGAACGAGAGCTCTCGGCATTCATCTGAGTAGCAGCGACAGTTCTCGACTTGTTTCCTTCCACCATTAGATCAGAGATATCCTTGAAGGAGGTTACAGCGAGTTTCGAGAGACCCTCAACATAAGGACCCAGTGTAATGTGCTCCCTCACTTTCAATGCAGCCTTATCACTGAGAGAAATAAGGAGAATAAAATATTATACTACATATACTGATGTTAAAATACATACCCTTTAGCACTTAGTAGATCTCGTACTTTCTCGTTATAAATCTCCATGTAGGCGACTTCAACCTTAAAGTTCAGGGATGGATCAGAGAGCTATAGAGAGAGAGAAGAGAGAGAGAGAGAGAGAGAGAGAAAAGAGAAAGGTATATATACATGTACATGTACTAAGTTCACTAACCTCTTTCATCTTGGCAAATAGTCCATCACAGATTCTTGGTATCAATCCTTTAGTGGCTGGCTCATCTGATCCAGTCCCCATCATTGTATAAGATTTACCAGAGCCTAAAAGAAAAGAGAGAGAGGAGGAGGAGGAGGAGGAGGGAAAGAAAAATAAAAAGAGGAAAAGGAAGTGATATAATGTGTGACATATGACAATAATGGAGGATGAGAGAATTAAGGAGAAACACTATAGGCTAACATTGTTAACCAAAATATTTACAAGTCAACACGCACTACAGCAACAATGTATGAATTATGCATAATGAATATAATGTATGTGTATGCACACACACAAACAAACAATGAGGCATTGGCTCTTTTAATATAAAGGAATGATCAAACAAACAAGAGCTCCCTTGTGCCAGTGTATGTATACAACTAAATGTAAACATTATACAGTATAGCTACCAGAAACCACATACGTGTAAATGTACACAAGTAGTCAAGCTCACAGTACATTCACACAAGTGCTGTATACATGCATATCATGTGACTAAAATTAAATAAAAGTACAGTGTGTGCTTTAGATTCCACACACACAAAAAGACAGCCATATACAGTACATCCTAGTTGATTTACCAGGGCCATCATATGTACAGAATGCACTTTAAACAAAGTACAATATGTTAATCAGGAAAACTAATACTTTGAGTTTGAATAGTGTTAATTGTTCAAGACAGAGACATGTGACTTGAAGGAGCATATCATACAACAACTACTGTACATTTTAAATGAGATATTTTGTATTCTTTTCTCTCTCTCTCTATCGCCTTCTTTCTCTCACATACCTGTCTGTCCATATGCAAAGATACAAGCGTTGTATCCTTCGAAAGAATTCTCCAAAATGTCTGTACCAAGTGCCTCGAACACGGTGTCTTGACCTAATTATAGGGACAACATGGAAATATCAAAAATTTTCTGTAGTTTTCTCGTACTTGCGAATTTTCTCGTGTTGTTTGGGTCGATAGACCAGAAGCAGTGATCAAAAGCAAACGTCTATGACAAAAATTTAATAAATAAAATAATTAATTTAAAATAAATAATTGAATAAATAAACGCACCTTCACTCCTTTCCGAGTACTAAAGAAAGAAAGAGAAGGACAGAGAGAGAGAAAAAAGATTTTTTAAAGAGGTGAGAAAAAATAATGTTAAAAACAATGCATTTCCAATTAAAGAGCACCTCTGACTATCCAGTATAGTTTGGTTGCCCTCCATGTCAATGACACACTTTGTTCCCATGCCTATCTCTACAGTAAGGAAAAGAGAGAGGATACATTGATAAAAGAATGGGGACTCTGGTCTCACCCCTCTTGTTAAAGGGCCGAACACGGACGGCCACCTTTACTTTCGACATCTTCACTCAGGTCGACCCAAAAGCGAATTAAAGACAAAATGGCGAGCGGACGTTCTTCCCTCTACCACCTCTAGTCTCAGTAGTGTTCCAGAGGAGGAGAAAGGGTCGTTCCAAAGTCCTCAATTTATGCAATGAGTGAGAATGAGAGGTAATTCTCCACAGACACACGTGACCAAAAGGGTTAAAAAATTAAAGTCTCGTGACTGTCAGACGTACCCACGTGCTTCCACGTGGGTAGGAAAATAATAAAAAGATGTCGTGGGAGTGGAGAGTGTTTTGGCGAATTTCAAAAGAGAGAAAGATCATTCTCGAGTCCCTGGGACTTGAGAAAGAGCCACGGGCCCATCAAATAAGATCAGATACTTATATATGCTGTACTAGAGAGGTGGGCATTAAATGGAGAAGAGGGAGACAGCTGGAATTCAAGGTTATGACGGAGAGAGACGAAAAGAGCATGGCAGAGAAATGGAATAAGGTATTGTAGTGATTGCAATTTGACGAAGATCGTGCAAATAAATGTGAACAGAATTAGATATACATTATTAAAATTAATAGTAGGGGCCGTGTTGAAACATGTTAATTAATAATTAACTTGATTGTTACTAGTTATTTTATTTATTAATTTATTTGTAGATATTAGTCACTAGTTGTCCACTATCAATCAATGACGAAGAAGTCAGAACACTACTGATCAATCATATTGATAAATTACTCAAAAAAAGTACTTAAAAACATTTCTTGTCGTATTTTCTAATTAAAGCCCCACCAGGTACTTACAAGGACCAATTGGAGAATGCCAGGGAGACATTATTAGCCATACCCACTTTAAAACTTGTGGAGGTCCACAAGGAACGAAGTGACCAGCGCATTAATGGATGTTATTATGAATTAACTACAATAACTTGCTCCTCCCCCTCCCAATCAAAATATCAGTCACTTTGTGTTGAAGGCGATAGAGGTCATATTGACAAATTTTTGACTATGCCTATTGCAGCTGGCGGGAAGAATATGTTTCAATTTTTTGGCGAAGTTGGTCGATTTTGTGGCTATCCACAGTTTGTTAATGAGTTATGATCCACTGGACAAAATTAATAATTAATCTTTTTATTTTTCCAAATTTTGCATGCAAAAATCAATGTAAGAAATATACAGTGGTCATTAATAATAATAATAATAATAATAATAATAATAGTAATAATAATAATAATAAATTAATAATAATAGTAATAATAATAATACAAGTTTTGCTTTACAGATTTGTGTAAAAACAATCACAAAATTTAAAATAAATACAGCACACACCAATTTGATAGCCACGCCCACTCATTATCTCACAAGAGCCATGGCAGAATGAACCTTGAAATTGAGCCTTGCTTCAAACTCGTATCCTGAGAAAGTATCCTGAGATATACAAATATCGTTATAAAGTTATACTGAGTAATACTGAGTTATACTGACCTTGGCATGAGTAAACAAGAGTCTGGCTTGAGCATACTATGCAAAATAAAATTTGAAAATATTTGAATTTAAAATCTGAAAATATTTAGATTAAAAATTATACCTCATCTCTGTTGATGTGAATAACTCCTAACTCGTACAGAGCAAAAGACATGATGTGCTTGTCATGTTTTATAACTTTCTCAAACTTTGCAGCTTCTTGGAAGCACTACATGTAAATAAATAATTTTTTTAAATGATTAAAACAAGATAAAAGCAACTAATTTTTCCCCTTTTAATCCTATGCCATTTCTCTCTCACTTTTCTTTTCCTTTCTCTTTGTAATTCTCATACACTTTCACTTTCTCTCTCTCTCTCTCACTTTCTCAGCATCTCTAAACCGATCCAGTGACACTAGTACGCATCCTTTTAACAACTCCCTGAGTCCAAAGTGAAAGGGGATCCCGTTTGAAGAGTGAGCACGCTCGACCATGTCAAGCAGACGTAGTTTGGTCTCCTTTGAGCAGAAAGGAAGCGCCCTCCACAGATAAAGGACTTCGACTAACATTAGCGTCACTTCTATACTCATTAAAGGACTTTGCCCATTTTTATATACACTGGCCTACAATAGAAAATATACTAACATTAAAGAGCATGAAGTTTGAGCAACAAAAAATTATATATATATATATATATATATATATATTTCATGGCATTAATACTCATTATCGTTTGGTTTATGTTAGTTTTGAGTCAAATAAACACTATTTCAAATCATGTTAAACTGATGATAGACGTATTGTATATGTAAGTTTTAACTTTTAAGTATTTCATACTTCTGGAGCCAAAATACTTGCATGGTTACACACACTACCAATATTTAATACAATATGCAGCTCAATTAAATATCAGTGACATTAGTTAATGGCAGCTTACTCTCCTCGAGCAGAACTTCTCCAAATTATTGTTCTTTCTCTTGACTAGTTTCCCGCACTGGAGGAAGAGCTCACGAGACTGCTTCAAGTCTCCCTTCACTCCGGCCATGATGGCGGCAAGATAAGCATAATAACAGGCGGACCACCTGGTCTCAGTCTTTAATCTAGTGAGTGGGTGGAGATAAGTTCTTATGCACCAATATACACATATACATGTACACATACAGTATGTACATACAATCACTGATTGATTAATGTATGGTTGTTTTTTTAACTTTTGTCTTTTTATGGAAGTGTGTTTTGTTTTTATTCTGTGAAAAACAAGCTCATTTAAATCTAATTTGCATGTCTTTGATTTTTGTTCTGGAGCTTAGAGAATGGAATGAACAAAAGTTTGATAGAACAAGCTATAAAGTCTCTCTCTCTCTCTTTACTTTTCCCCTCCTCTCTCTCTCCCTCTACCTGATAAAGATAGGGAGTGCCTCATCAAGCTCCAAGTTAAGCATGTGTATCCATCCTTTCTCAAAGAGGCAGATGTGCTCAATCTCTCTCTGTTCCCTTGACAGCAGAGCAGCTGCACTGTACACCTCAAGAGCCTGACTCAATTCAGACTAAAACCAAGCAAAAACAATTATATGCACAATATATGTAAATGTAAATGCACAATACATTTATATAGTGCCAATCACAGCTGCCAATATATATATAATAAATGTATATGCATATGACAATACACCCATTTTTTATATGTACATGTATGTGGATACTATAATAGAACAATGGATATAAGGAATGTATTATGATAGCTCCTCTACCTTTAGGTAATGTACTTTCCCTTTAAAGAATAGGAAAAACGCTGAGTCAGGATAAAGAGTATCTGCTTCTTTTAGTAATCTCAAAGATTCACTAACACCTTTAACAACAACAATAAACAACAATAAAACAACAATAAACAACAACAGGTCTACATGTAAAAGTATGGACATTTCTGTATTTATCATCCGATACATCTATACAACTAACAAATAACAAAAACAACAACAAATGTGTATATATGTAGGTTGTACATGGATAAATATGTTGTTCTTGTACAAGTACATGTACGTGTACATGTACATATACATAATTCTTCTGCTCTCACCTGCATCTTCTTGCTCACCATCCAAAGCAAAGAATGGTCTGATTATAGTGTGATACCAGAGCAATGCCAACCTTTAATAATAATAATAATAATAATAATAATAATATTAAATTAGGCAGTACTACCGTAATTCTCTCTCTATCTCTCTCTCTCTTTACTTTTACCCCTCTCTCTCTTACCTAGCCAAAGGAGCTTTCATGTCTTGACTTTTGCTAGAATATTCAAGTGCTTGGAGCCCTATCTTCCTGCTCCCGTGAAATCCAAACAAGTTAGCCACTTTCATTAGTTTGGGTGGTATGAGTGAAACTATGACATTCATTAGGCCAAACCCAAAGTAAAGGCCACCACGCAATCTAGCATCATCATCATCAAGATCCTAAATAAATAAATAAATAAATAAATAAATAAATAATATTATTGTACATAATAAGAATGCTTTGTGATTCTTTTTGCCAAGTATCCTTCTGTTTATATTTTAAAATTCTGTTTACTTTACAAATAAAATTTAAAATATGCTAATAATATTAGCAGTAAGAAGTACAAGTGCATGTACTTTACTCTTATATCCATCCACTCTAAACATACACAGATACAATGTATATGTACATGTACATATACATGCATGTGTCGCCATACACGTACCTGTATAGAGGACTCAGGTACTTCAGGTAGTTCGTATCCATTCTTAGCGCCAGTAGGTCCAGAACTTGTTGATTCATTATCCACTTCATCTGCTCCACCACTTGATGTTGAGGAAGGTTCCTCCTCAATACCTGTCCCTCCTTTATCACTGGCCCTGTCTTCATCGTCTCCCCCGCCCTCGTTAAGCTCCTCAACTACAGACTCGATATCAAGAAGGCCTGAAAAACTAGCTGTCAATGGATCCACTACTCCTTTTTCAGGCTGAGCCCCGGCACTACCCCCGTTTGTCTCACCCATGTCCCCGTCGTAAAGAGACACGCCCACATGTGAATCAACTGCTGAAGGCTCGACGAGAGAAATCGGAGAAGGCGTGGTGCATAGTTGGTCGACTTCTACGTTTAGTTTGTCGTACATCTTCCATGCTTTACGTAAAATGTACCCTCCTTTCACATAACTAGTAAGACCCTGCTTTAGAAAGACTAGTATGGCTTCAAACAAGAGGCAGTCGGCAATTATGGAGCGCCTGTAGAGTCTCTCGTGTTGAGTGATCGGTGAATTAGGACGGGCGGAGCTGGACTTGACAAAGGAGAAACCTCTCGAAGGATCGCAGAATTTTTCAGTTGATTCAAGGAGCTTGTAAGCATTGTCTAAGTCATCTTCTTCAAACGACATGAAAGCTTTCTGATGTAGAGAAAAAATTAAAATATGTATTTGTAATAATTTTAACAAGTCAAACACAAGTCCATGTACATGTACATACGTGTATATGTAATCACACCTTCCTATGACATGTGACTTTACATAAGCATAACAATCATAAAATAATGTTATGACAAAGTCCTTTCACTATCTCACTCAACCATTGTTAACAGTATCCATTCTTACTCTCTCTCTCTCTCTCCCTTCTCTCTCTAGTATGTCCCCAGGTAACAATGACTGGGTACAATACGACTTTCAATGAGATTAAGTGTCACGTATTGTGGTATTGTAAATTCTCTAGTAATCAGACATTTCTAACATAACTGAGCAAGAGCACACATGTGTGACATACATTGTATATATACAGAGAAAGAAAGGGAGGGAGGGAGAGAGAGAGAGAGAGAGAGTTTCTTACCACTAATGACACAAAGCTATAACCAGCATGTAACTGAGGTCCCTGCATCCTAGTGAGAGAAACAATTTATTCATGAATTTACAAAGTGACTCCCAAATGAAAAACTAGACAAAAAGAGCAAGGCAACTATGCGCAAACATTGATAAAGCACAGTAACACATGCACACTATGATTGAGCTGTTTTTACCATCCTTTAGGCCTCGTTAACAACAGTTCGTGCAAAATTATTGCTATGATGATGAGATGCAGAGTAAAAAAAACAACAATTTAACAAATGGATGAGCTTTGGCTTTATTTTGCTCTAGAACTTGTTACATGTACATGTATTAGTCCAAATACAAAGTAATGGAGCCACATATAGTGCTTCTTAAATTTCTCTCTCTCTTTTCTCCTCGCCTCTCTCTCTCTCTTACTTCGATGCTTTGAACAACTCTTCTGCCTCTCTCAATCTTGAGTTCAGTAGTAGTCTCATTCCCTCGTTGGCTACTTGTACTCGTCTCAGCTCCTCTAGCTCTTTCCCCGTCTCCATCTTCCTCTTAGCAGTACCCCCCGTGGAGTGTTCCGGCTCGTTATTACTGCGAACAGTTGGAAGGCTGCTGCTGCTGGAAGCCATTCCCTCAAATTGTAAGAATTATTAATTATAATAATTTTAATAAAATAACTGATTGCAGTCGTTAAGAGTTATTATCACTCTTATTAGGCCTAGATTTTGCCTTCTTGTTTGGTTTTCTTTCTTAACAAATGAAAGAAAAACTGAATGAAAAAGGCAAAGATAAATAAAATTAAAATAGTTAATTAGCCACGCCTTTTTGTTTGGGGCCACGCCCTTCGTGTGCCTCCATATGTGTACAAGAATATACAGAGTTTTACAGAAGGAAAAGGTTAAATGTATACATGTACAGTTGTACATTGATTTCCTCAATCCTCAAATTTTGTAAGAATCAAGTAAGTTGTAATACAGGTGGACTTATTATAACGATATATCCAGATCAAACAGTAGCAGAGAAAGATGCCGCAAACTTTTCGTGTTTTGCAATGTTATTCCTGCAAAACCTTTCAAGTGCAGCAAGTGAGTCATCGAGATACTGTTAGTTATGGACAGAATGTACACTGTAGGTTAAGAAATCCAACAAGTGGACGTGTAAGTTGTGCAATGAGAAGCAATCTGTTATAAAGGTCAGCACTGCTTCCAAACAGGCAGCATGCAATTATAAGTTACTATACATAGGTCTATGATCAAGGCTCTGCTATTGATTGCCGCAAGCAAGTTCAAAGACTTAACATGACAAGAAAAGAGAAAGATGATGCAATGTAAGTCAATAATTAGCTAATTCCTTATTTAAATGTGGAGCTCGTCGATAGAGCTACATGTGTTCAGCCTCCTGAAGGATATTCTGATGTATACTCCACAGAATCTGGTGACGATTCACCTCAACTAGCTGCAACAGTAAGAAATAATGTATATTTATATTAATCAAGGTGCATACTGCAATGATAGGAGAGACAGCGTCCAGCTACTATCCTTTCAGGCATGAATGGACGTTGGGCTTTGTTTGCTGATCCAAAGGAATCAGAATCAGATCAAGTGAGAGATCAGAGGAAGAGAAAGAGAGGGTCAAAGAGACTGATATGTAACAATGACTGATAATAGGACGAAGGAGAAGATGAAGGTAGGGACACATTTACAACAAGTAGAACAGAGTTTGAGCAAATCTGCAAGAAATTGAGGAAAGAGAAAAGCTGTGTCAGATCAGCGTAAGTTTTTACTGTTCTATAGTTCTTGATAATTGGAATTCAAGTACTTATATTGATAATGCTCAAATTAAGGTCTCATATAATTTTTTATAGTCAGCATCGTTTAACTGGCTTCCATCCAGTTTCAAAGAGGAAACCTGCAGGATCAGATGATTCTTTAAAGTCCTCCAGCACTCATTCTCTACCAGCTAGCTTATATCAAAAGTCAGATTCTCTATTTCCTTATTCATCAGTTGGAGATGCCATGGACACTATGCTTACTGAGTCAGTAGAGAGGACATCATCACTAAAGTGTCTTCACAGTGATGATTACCAGTACAGTGGTGTTCAGGGATCATATCGTAGATTTGAAGAGGAAAAAGATAAGGCTGCAGAAAAGCCAGTTAGTGTTGCTAGTAGTGGAGCAAGAAGCAGTCATTCAAAGGATTCGTTAAAACTTTCAAAATGGTCAAAATTCTTACCACAAAATATTGAAGAGGGAGACTTGAATAATTAGATCTAAGCATGTAATCTAAGACCTCTGTGTATTAAAAATTTATAAATATTCATTAATCATTATTGCTAATTATTATTCATTAGTTATTAATTAAAATTAATCAGTTAATTAATTGAGGGTCATCTAAAAATGGCGGGTATGGCTGCCGGTAGCTCCGATGTTCCAGTTGATCATCTGGACTACGGGCACATTGGGAAGCTGTCCAATACGTCAGAGCTGGAGAAGATACTCAAGGTTTTAAGGTCAGGGACGAAGAGAGAAAATAAGCTTCAATGCAAACTGAATTATTAGTGAAAATATTTAACATTTCTGAAAAAAGTCACACGTGTAGACTATTCTGAAATTAAAAATGCATCATGTATATCGTTTGCAGGTCTAGATCTGAAGGATATTATCCAGATCTCATCAAGTTTACGGAGGATAGACTCAGAACTTTAAAACCCAGCAGGTACACCTTGCATGACCATTTTGTATAATGTACCTGTACATTTCTCTTCTCTTGTAGTAAGTTACTGATAGAAGATCAGAAGGTGAAGAGAGCTAAGGAACTCTCGAAAGAACAATTGAATGAAATAAGAAGTGACATGAAGGTAATGACACATATTTAGAAATAATAATAATACAATTTCTCTCTCTCTCTCTCTCTCTCTCTTTCTTTATGTAGCAATGGGAAGAGGACATGACGGAAAAGGACAGGCACTTGTCCTCCTCTTCTGCTACTCATGATGATGATGAGTCCCATATATTGCCGCCGGTTAGGACTACTGTGAACATAAACCCTCAGGTATCGATCATAAGTCCCTGTACTATTAGTAACGCAGTAGCGTTACTAAGTAGGATTCACTCCCAAACAAAATGGCTGCCACGACTTTTGCAGCCTTGTAGTACATGGTCTTAGGCCGAATTTCGCCAAAATTGAACAGGAGAGAATTCTGCATTTATATATATTTTTTCTGATGCATGAAATCACTTGCATGTACATGTACATATTTTAATTCTATTCTTACATATTAGAGTAAAGCAAAGAGTACCAAGAAGGAGCCTAACCCTAGTCGTATAAAATCATCGGACTACAGCTCTTGGGATAAATTTGAACCCGATAAAGTGGAAGAGAAAGTCGTTGAAGACAAGACAACAAGTACTGGATCTTCTTGTAAAGTCCCACCAGAAAAACTATCGGCCAAAGGCAAGAACACTTCACCTTGAATAGTCAATATGTACATGTACATGTACATTAAATGATTATTATTAATTATCTATCCTCCTGCTTGACAATTAATACTTGTACATGTACATGTACCTGTACATTTTGTATAACATGCACTACATGTAGTTTTTGAAATTATTTTCTTCTGTTTTTTAGAATTGTCATTGAGTGAGCATGAAAAAGAACGTCAAGCTGACAAAGAGAGAGAAAAAGGAAATGAGGCAAGAAACATTTAATGGAAATATTCACCCACACACTCTCTCTCCTCCTCCTCCTTTTCTTCCTCTTTCTCTAGGCATTCCGTGCTGGTGACTATAAAGAAGCTCTGGTCTATTACTCTCGTAGCATCAGCTTCTGTCCTTCTCCTCCAGCGTATAACAATAAAGCTCTGACTCTTAATAAGTTAGGACGATACAGTGAATCCGTGGGAAGCTGCAACGAAGTCCTTAAAGTTGAGCCTAACAATATTAAAGGTGAATTGATGAGTGATACTTTAGAATGAACCTTATACATGTACCTTATTGTACTGTACATATAACATAACAAAACTCAATATTTGTCAAAATTAAAACTAACTAAAAAAACTAAAAATTTTTTTTGTATTTTTAGCTCTGTTAAGAAGAGCCGACGCCTACTGCTCATTAAAACAATATGAACAGTCAGTATCAGACATAGAGTCTGTTCTAAAAATAGAACCAGCTAATAAAAGAGCTACTGAGCTACTGAAGAAGGTTAACGGAGAAATGGGCAGAGCCAAGGGCGTGACCGATGAGAATGGGGGCGGGGCTAAAGGTGGGGCCAAGAAAGGAAAAAGAATCACTATTGAAGAAGTTGACGGGACTAATGAAGAGAGTAAAGGGGAGGAGCCTGTTGCCAAGACAACAAAGGAAGAAGTTGTGGAAATTGAATCAAAGCCACGCCCACCTGTTGTTCAGGCTCCACTCCCCCCAGCTGTACAGAAGAAGAAGGAAGAAGGAAACTCGTTTTTTAAACGCGGACAATATGGAGATGCTGTTGGTTGCTATACGAAATGCATTCAATTACTAGAGAAAGGTAATTAGTATCAAAAGTACATGTATATATCTACATGTTATTCATTTATATGTTACATGTATTTCCTGTTTGATCATGTGATCTGTTAATAGAGTCAGGTGATCACTCTCAATCCTTATCGATCGTCCTTAGCAACCGAGCTGCCTGTCATTTTAAAAATGGTGACTGCCGTGGTTGTATCAATGATGCTACTCGCTCCATTGAACTGGTCCCTGTCAATTTGAAGAGTTTTGTGAGGCGAGCTCAAGCTTACGAAACAATGGAGAAGTCAGTTATACGTTGTAGTTAATTTATTGTACATACTTCATTTTTCTTCTGTCTCTCTGTCTCTGTCTGTCTTTCCCTCTCTCCCCCTCTCTCTCCCTCCAGATATAAGGAAGCTTATTGTGATTATCAGCTAGCTTTAAGAATTGATTCACGTGTTGATCAAGCTCGATTAGCATCATCGAGGTACATGTATACATGTAGTTTATAGTCTAGCTATAGAATCAATAGATTTACTTTAATGAAATTTGATCCTTCAGTTATAAATACAATGTACTTATTGATTAATTGACATTTTTAGAATTTCTTTGTTGCTTCGTGACGCCCACGGTAATAATTGGCGCGACTTTCTACCAGCAAACTCCGATATTGACAGAGTTAAAGCCGGACTTGCTGAAATGAGCCCTCAAGCTACTCCGCCCACACCTCAAGCAACTCCGCCCAAACCAGAAGAAAAAGGTGGAGCCCCCCTACCTCCTAATACTCCGGTGGTAATGTCGACAGTTTCAAGTGGCAGTGATACAAGTCCATCACAATCAACTTCAGCTCCTGTCCAGTCGTCCTCCACTGGTAGCAATACTACTGCCACTAATGCTAGCAGTGCAATGGATAGAAAGAAAGACTTTGAAGATTCTAAGAGCAAAGGAAATGAGTTTGTTAAGCAGGTACATGTACATGCATTTGTTATATACTTGCATGTATGAATGAAGAAATTGTAAATATATGTACAATGTACATGTACATGTATTACGCTTTCTCAAAAATGTTAAGTATAGATAATACATATGTTAAGTATTTTGACCCATATATGACATTGTGTATGTTATATTGGAAGTTTTTGAGCTGACAGAAAGGTTGTATACTGTCCATTTATTTGTTTGTATTTCTTTCCTTTTCTAGACTAACTACCAGGCAGCAGTTGAATGCTATACTCACTGTGTTTCATTGCAGCCTCATGAAGTGGCACCATATACCAATAGGGCACTCTGTCACCTTAAGCTAAGTCAGGTATGTGCATATGGTATGATGGTAATATCTAATTTTAGTAATAGATTAGTGGAATAGTATTGAATTGTAATATTGGTGATGTCCTTATGCTGTGTAGAAAGTTTGAACTGATTCCGACTTCAATTTTTCAAGTTACGGCCGTTTTAAGAAAACATTAAAATTCTTGAAAAGTACCCAAGGCTATAGCCCATGGTTTTTTCCGAAAAATGGCTCCGAAATCACCCCAAATTTTTATTACATTTTCTGATACATATTGATGTCGTTATGCTGTGTAGAAAGTTTGAGCTGATTCCGACTTCAATTTTTCAAGTTACAGCCATTTTAAGAAAATGTCAAAATTCTGAAAAATACCCAAGGCTATAGCCCATGGTTTTTTTCCAAAAAATGGCTCCGAAATCACCCCAAATTTTTATTACATTTTCTGATACATATTGATGTCGTTATGCTGTGTAGAAAGTTTGAGCTGATTCCGACTTCAATTTTTCAAGTTACGGCCATTTTAAGAAAATGTCAAAATTCTGAAAAATACCCAAGGCTATAGCCCATGGTTTTTTCCAAAAAATGGCTCCGAAATCAACCCAAATTTTTATTACATTTTCTGACACACATTGATGGCCTTATGCTGTGTAACAAGTTTGATCGGATTCCAACTTCAATTTTTCAAGTTACGGCCATTTTAAGAAAACATTAAAATTCTGAAAAATACCCAAGGCTATAGCCCATGGTTTTTTCCGAAAAATGGCTCTGAAATCACCCCAAATTTTTATTATATTTTCTGATACATATTAATGCCCTTATGCTGTGTAGCAAGTTTGAGCTGATTCCGACTTCAATTTTTCAAGTTACGGCCATTTTAAGAAAGTGTCAAAATTTTGAAAATTACCCATGCTTACAGTATGTTTGTATTCAGCTGATTCTGATCAAAATTTGGATTTTAAAAATCAATTTTTTAACTTGATTCAAAATCTTTCCAATGACCCTGTACTACTAGTACAGTAATAACAGTAGTATAGAATTCTCCTCTTAATTTATTCTCTCTCTCTCTCTTCAGTTTTCTTTAGCTGAGGATGATTGCAGTAAAGCTTTAGCCCTAGACAACACTAATCCCAAAGCCTTGTATCGCCGGGCCCTAGCAAGAAAGGTAAATTAAAAATATCCTCCAGACCCCTTGTGAGTACTGCCCCTCTATTACAGGGCCTTGGTAAATTGAATGAGGCACTGAAGGACCTGAGAACATTAATAGGACAGGAACCAGATAATGGGGCCGCTAAAAAGGAAGAGAAACTAGTATATGACCTGTACCTCCAAGTATGATTTGTACTATTGGAAATGCAGTATATTTTGCTTTATTTATTTTAATATACATGTACATGTGCATATTCTTCTTTTAGGAGCTGAGAAAGTTACAGGAAACCCCTTCCTCTTCTTCTGATACTGGTGGTCTATCCGGTCAATCCTCAAAAAAGTCGTCAGGTAAAAAATCCAAGCCAGCTGCCACGCCTTCTGCCACTCCCCCTGCTGCTAAGCAACCGACGAGCAAGTCAAAAAGGAAGAAGGTTACGATTGATGAAGTGGTAGAGCCTGAAGTGACAGAGGACAAAGGAGATGAGAGGGAAGTGGGTGAAATTAAGGAGAAATTGTCAGACATAAAACAAGTCAAGGTATAGAGTTATTGGCAAAAACAAGACAGCCTTGATTAGAATTTTAAAGATTCTTGTTACTTAGACGTCTACATAAATGAATCACCTTAATCAAAGGAATGCCAAAAAGTTGTGTATAGAAGTGCATTGGGCATTGCAATAACTTCATTTGCATTGTAATTGGATCAATTATTGTCTGTCTGTGTGAAGATTCATGGAATGACAGTGAAACCCTGCAATGTGAATTCCCTGAAATTAATGTACATGTACATGTACTGCATATTGTCACTAGTAATCCCTGACAAAAGCCATAAGAACAGTATGTTAACAGCCTAGCCTAATGCACCTTAGTTAAGAACACATGGCTGTGGCTTAGTGGCTTGATTTTAAGTACAACATTTACTATACGTATAGCTTTAATTGTTTAAGCTTTTAATAGAGTTTTATAACAGTATGTTTTTCCTTTATAGCTAAGTTTAATGGAGTATAGGCAGCTATGGAACACCACTGCCACCTCCTCTGCTACTACTCCTCGTCAATATGCCGAATTACTTATTAGAATACCCTCAGATATTCTACCTCAAGGTAAGGGTCTGGTCAAACTGGTGTAGTTGATATGGCTTTGTTGTGTTAGTTATTGGCTCTAAGTTGGAGGGATTTAATTTGACTGGGATTGTATCTGCTGTCGAACAATACATAATGAAAGAATGTGAGTATTGTTATTATTTTTTGTATTAGTATTATTATTATTATTATTATTGTACTTTTATATTTGATATTTCTTAAGGTTTGTATAAAGTTGCATATGATGTATTGCTCTCACTGACTACTGTACCACGTTTCAAAATGATACTAATGTTTCTATCAGAGACTGACAAGCAATGTAAGGAAGAAACAGAGAGAGAAACAGTATAAACTATTGTTTTTTTGCTTTGTTTGTGTGGTTTAGGTTTAAGAAGAATATTCTCAAGTCTTGAAGGGACAGGAAGTTACAATTATGAACAAATTAATAAATTGAGACATTCCTATTCTTTGCTCTGATTGTATAAATAGCATGCCTTGTACACTTACTTGTCCATTAAAAGTTATTAAGTTATAGAGTGTAGCTATGAAGAAGTATCTTGCTGCTTTCCTTTTTTGTACTTTTTACTCTGTGTTGGTGGCTCAAGTCTGTTATAATGACAGTCCATGTATGAATGGAGGAGAGTGTATACAGTACTCACCTGCTGATAATTATACTTGTAATTGTACTGGCACTGGATATGAGGGAGTCAACTGTACTGGTGAGTTATTTGTTAGCTTTATTCATTTAATTATTATAATTTTTTTCTCTATCATTTGATAAACAGAGCTTATAGTAACTCCTACTCCTACTTCAGCATTTTCAGTTATTTCCACACCTCTTGTATGCACACCACGTGAGTAACACAATAGATTTGTATAGAATCTTTGGAGTCTGATGCATTCTGTTATAGTGCATATCATATAGGCAATTGAAGCATGTATGAATTCTTGCTTCTTATTTGTTGAACCTTTTAAACTCATATATTAATTATTATTGTTAATGTGATTTTGATAGCTTGTAATTCTGGTTCTTTGCGTCTTGTAAATGGGTCAAGGTCCAACGAGGGAAGAGTGGAAGTGTGTCAAAATGGAACCTGGGGTACAGTCTGTGATGACTCCTGGGACAACACTGATGCTGGAGTTGTGTGTAGACAACTTGGCCTAGGAACAAGTGAGCCATTATTGCTACTATCATATTACAGTCAATCCTGTCTATTCCGGACACCTTGGGACCCAATAATACTGTCCTGATTATGAACCTGTCCTTATTTCAGAGGTTCATTAATACACATTTATGTTGTATTGGGACTGATACTACCTGTCCTCATTATAGAGGTGTCCTATTTTAGAGTGTCCACAATAGCAGGTTATATTACTATAGCATCATTGTGAGTTTCCTTCTGTATAGGTGGGACAGCTTATATCAGGGCACACTTTGGTGAGGGAAATGGATCAATAGTATTGGATGATGTTGCCTGTGATGGAACCGAACAATTTCTTGTAAACTGTAGACACAATTCAAGTCACAACTGTGGACACTATGAAGATGCTGGAGTGACTTGTCCAGGTGAGCTAGTTTATGATGTGCATATCCTATGAGATTGTTATATTATTTTATTGTTATATTATCATATTATTATAGCTTGCATTGATGGATCCATTCGTCTTGCTGGTGGTTTCAACAGCTTAGAGGGACTTGTTGAGATATGCAGTGGTGGAGCCTGGGGCACTGTCTGTGATGATCGCTGGGATTCCACTGATGCTGGTGTGGTGTGTAGACAGCTAGGATATGCTTCAGGTAAGGAAAGGTTTATAAGTGTCCTTACTGTGGCTGTCCTTTGGAACTTAGGCACTTCAATTGGTAGGGCTTATTTTGGACAAGGAAATGGATCAATTGTGATGGATAATGTCGACTGTACTGGGAGTGAATCCCACCTTAGCAACTGTACACATATCACTGATCATAACTGTTGCCATTCTGAAGATGCAGGAGTCAGATGTGCCCGTAAGTAAATGCGAAGAGACTGGTGGTAGATTTCAAGGATTTATATTTTGACTTTTTTGCCATAGTTTTAATTTGTCATGATGCCAATTCTTATCTTTTAGGCGCTGTTGCTAATTGTAGCATGGAAACTATAGCTAGTAGTGATCGTGGTACATTTGAATGGCCAGAAACAATGTCAGACAGAACAGCTAATATACCATGTCCTAATGGTCCTAGTGGTGCTATTGCTAATAGAACATGTACTAATAATGGTACTTGGGAATCACCTGATATAGAGTCGTGTGCAACTACATCAGTGGCAAATGGATTCAGGAATATATC